GGGGGGGGGGGAGAGCGGAACCGCTGAAGCGAATTGAGACGAACGAAAACCAAAATAGTAACGATAGAAAAGAGCTAAACAAGCAACAGCCCCACGATAGGAAAACGACTGCAAATTTGAAGTTTTTAAGACAGTTTCGTTGATCAGCCGGATGACCTTAAACACGGTCAAGAAAGGAAACTATTCAAGAACAGAGTAGTAGGCTACCGAGCGCGTGCCCAGGTCATAATCCTCATCATTGTACAGCGTAATAGAGTGAAGCGAACTTCACTGATCGCTGCCAAACTCGTAATGCATACAAGGTAAAGGAGAATATGTAAGGAGGACAGGCACTGGGCCTATTTTTAGGGACGGGAAAAGAAAGCGAACCTCTATGGTCAGCACACAGAGTACACAGCCCAACCGTGCATACACACTACTTCAAGCATTTTGGACTGATAAGAAGTGACAGCATGTTCGCCATTGCTGTCGGTTCGCAGCCATAACCTTCAGTGTCTTCAATCATGCAGTTTCGGAGTCTTTTGGACCCCACTCCGGAAGACGAGAGACACCTACTCTACCTAATCGCTCTGTGCATTTTTTTCATGCCTCGTTTCAACGTCATCTGCTGACCTCCACGCGGTTTTCTCTAGCCTGCAACAGCCACTGCGAATAAGGCGCGCTGCTGTAGCCGACCGTCAGACATACGCAAAACGTATCCTAACCAACGGAGCCTATTGAAATGAATTCGATGCAATAGCAATCTCTTGTTCTATGCATTCCCAAACACCCAACGACTTACTTGTAAGTTACTAACCCGCTCACTCCATCCCACTTGGGCCAGACTATGCAAACATCGATTGTCGAAAACCATTAGTCGACAGATGTCTTTTACCAGATCTTGGATAGAGGGACGGCCGCTAACTCGCAGTTAACCGTGGTTAAGGTGGGTTCAGGCTCTCTGAATGAGCGTTGATGGACGATCTGCGGCAATTCTTAAGGATGCGGTGAGTTTACCACTTTCCAACGGTTTTCCACACAACACCACATATATCTCATGACAGTGCCGTGACGCGGCGAATGTGCCCACCACTGAATACGGTTATTGTCCCTTTCTCGCGGTTCTATCTACTCAACGAGATTTTCCAGAAAAGGCGATTGGACCAACCGATCGGTCAACGGCTCATTTTACACAATTTTGTTGCATTGTAGCTCGCGACGATTTGCGTAAAGGCTAGAGTGCACCCTTGAAAAAGGCCTACTCTGGTCTGGGGGACTGAAGAGCACAACAGCTCACAAAGAAAAACAAAACAAAAATAAACCTTCACCTGTCCAAAATTTCGTTCCTACAGTTTTCTTTTCTCAGAGAAAAACGTCCCAATCTTCCTAATTCCCAAATTTTCCTTCACATCATATTCACGCCCCCCCCCCGCCACCGCTCTAAAACATTTCTAGGGTCATCCGGATTTTCAGACGATCGTGCTTCAGATGGAAATCCCGTCCCTATTTTCTACCGTTCTGCATCGAAAAGCGTCCAAGTCTCACCGGCTCCTTCTCCATCAGTCAAACCTCTTTTTCGTCCCCGATGCCAATTCAAACTAGCCACATTTGACCCGCGTAATCTCATGCGTAT